CCATAGAAATGTTTTATAAGTGGTGTTTGGATTCCAAGACTAATACCAAAAAACAGCCTAAATTTTGAGCTAGAAATATAAACTTTACACAAAAGTAAGATAACACTTTTATTATAATTTAAAATATTATATGCAACAGAAATGTAGTTTTAAGAAAAGGGTAGATGGAGCTTTAGGGAGTTTCACTTTTAGATTTGGTTTCCTTTTAGATAGCCTCTAAGAGGTAAAAACATCAATTCCTTGGAGCGCATTCCTTAGTAAAATTCTTCTATTATTTTCAAAGTTTTAGGGCACACAGTTATAACAGAAAGACTTGGAGAGATTATCTCAAGATAACCAAAGAAGAGTTAAAGGAGGAAAAGAGGCAGGTATTTAAGAGCATTAATGGGAAGGCACAGGAAAATTTTCTTGAGTTGAATTAACTGAGGTGAGTTGTACGTAGTGAAAATGGGATGAAAATGGCAACGTGGTATAAGGCGACCATCCTAATATCCAGTAGATGAGGGAGATAAAAGATTATGAAGAGAAATAAAGCACATAGTAAGTAGTAAATAAAGCAGATAATCTTTAGAGTGTGACCGTTACTCCATATAAAATGTTACCTCTCATTGAGATTGGGGGCATTTTTGACTTAAAGCAAAAAAAAAAAAAAAAAAAAAAAATGCCCCCAAAGAACCACAGAGATCTATGACTTCTCTGTAAGCACTAAATTTGCCCTAATTAGAACTAAAATGCTATCAAAGTGAATTCGCAAAGTGAAAATGGAATTTTGAAAAATACTCCAAAAATTAAATCACATAACCTATTATTTTCAATGGCAAAAACTGCTGCAATTACTTTTGCACCAACTAATAGTTTCGTCAGACATTAAAACACATGCATGCTAATTCTCGTGGTTTGTTCTGGGCATGAATCTGCCTCTATCATTTCTGATAATCACTGACAAGAAGGTAGGCATAGCAAGTAGGATGATTCCCATATTCACCTCGAAAACATAAAATTCAAACTATAGAGTGGCATTTGTGGACGTGCATGACTTTACAGGTCACCGTTTTTCTTTATCTTTCACTTCATCGTTCCGCAAATCCTATACTCCAGAGCCCTAGGACTCTTTATTCATGGTGCATTCCTTCAAACAGAGAATTTTCTCCCCATCACCTTCTCCCCTGGGGATCGCATACTCCCTCCCCTAGGGCTTTAATAGACAGTATGGCCTTCCTCCGCCAGGATTCTTACTAGCTTCATTTTCTCTCTTGAATTCTGGGCCCCCATGTTTCCAAATGCCTGTTGGATTTCACTGTAATGTTCAAAACAGATTTTAAAATGCCACGTATGCTATGGAGCTGGAGGCTATCATCCTTAGCAAAGTAACACAGGAAGGGAAAACCAAATACCTGGCGTTGTTTCTTATAAGTGGGAGCTACGTGATGAGAACTCATGGACACATAGAGGGAAACAACACACACTGGGGCCTGTAGGAGGGTAGAGCGTGGGAGGAGGGAAGGGATCAGGAAAAAAATAACTAATGGATACGAGGCTTAATACCTGGGTGAGGAAATAATCTATACAACAAAGTCCCGTGACAGAAGTTTACCTATGTAACAAGCCTGCACATGTACCCCTAAACTTTTAAAAGTTAAAAAAAAAATGCCATATGTGAAGCTGAACTGAGTGCCGTATTTTCTAGCCCGTGAACTGTTGTTTTCCTTCTTCCGTACCAGCACCTTCTCAGACACTCAGGCCTGCAGCTCCGAAGGCCTGACTCTTTATTGCCTTTCCCGACCAATTAATTGCCAAGTCCTGCTGATTGGATCATAATATTTCTTGCATCCTTTCTTCAGTGACCAAAGCTATAGTTTCAGCTTTGTTCCCTTTCTTTCTCTTGTAATCTCGTCTGCCTGCTGCTGAAGCAGCCATCCTAAATGGATACCAGTTTACTGGGCTATTCCATTGTTCACAAATGGCCATGGATCTATATTGAAGTTCACTCTTAGCCTGACATCAAAGATCCTCTGCTACCTCAATTAAATTGACTTGGATCTCATCTCCTTCCTCTCCTATAACCCACATTGTGGCTAAACTGAATTTCTCATATCTTGCCTGTAATTTATACTTCATATTACCTATATGCTTTATACTATATATGTATATACTTTGAATTATAAGAAGCAGAATGAATTACTTGGATATAATATGTTATATTATAAAATAGGTAATATATACTTTATAGATAATATAAAGTATTACCTCCAAGTAATACAGTCTGCTCCTTCACTTAGGATGTCCATTTCTCCTCCCTGGACACACATTCTGAATTCTTACTATTCTTTAAGAATAGGCACAAATATTACCTTATGAATTAAACTTTTTTATCTTATTATGAATTGAAGGTGATCATTATTTCCTTGAACTTGGACGGTATTTCATCTGTTGCTAAACCTTGGCATATTTATTACCTTTTAACTTGTTTCTCCTTTTGCTTATATCTTTTCTCCCCTAATTGATTGAAATCAAACAATTTGACTCATTTACCGCTGAATTGTTCTAATCATTTAGTGTAAGAAACAGGGACAGGCCCTCCTAAAAAAATTTAGCATGAATAGGAGAGAAGAATACTTATGTGAGTCACTACAGTATCATGAGAGTACATTCTGAGTGACTGAAGGGTGTGGAAATTATTTTTATCTTATATCTCTTGTTTGACAGTGAGGACATTATGTAGTCCACATAATACGACATATTTGCTTGAGAACTAAAAAATTCTATCACAACAATTATTCCTCCTAAGTCTCGATGTCAAGCATTGCTTAGCTAAGTAATCTGGTTGTCTTTTTACGGAAAAAATGAACCTACAAAAGAGATATTTTAACATAGAAACAACACTAGTAGACACAGATCCATTTTCAGGAAACTTAGTGGAAATTCATTTATCATCTCAAATTGGAAATAGTTTAGATTTAGGTTTGTCCTATCTCATTAGGAACTCGCTAGTTATAATGAAAAGTTGACTTTGTCCAGTTCCGGCATTGTCCTGTGGACAGGGTTATACTTACAAAAAAAGTTCACCTCTTCATTCTGGTGAAGTAGAGCTAAAATGATTATTTCTTTTTGCTTAAAAATAATTTTATTGCTATGTATAGCTTGTCTTTATATTTTTATTTTTTAATACTTTAGCATAATCGCTGTTAACAGCTTTTTCATGCATAGTATCCAGGACTTAATTTTGGCAATCATTGGTTCTGATAAACGAAACTCTAGTTAATATTGTGTTCATCTTTTTACATAAGTTAATAGCCTGATATCTCTGCAACAGGCATATATTAGATTTTTTTAAACTAGATCAGACTAAATACTTTTAATTTTGAGCTAATAATTTAGGAGTCACGTTGTTGAGATTCTCACAACTAGTCTAGGTTTCCAGTGAGACTGAAAACCTTCAGAAGATTTGCAGGACTCCTGGGGCAAAGAATGAACAAAGACTGCTGGCGCTAGTGCAGCATGTGACTGTGGAGGCATCACTAACATCTCTCTTTAGGGTGATGTGTTTATTTACGCTAATGATTTTATTTGTGTTCAGTGAATTCCAGCTCCTAACATAAAGCCCTGAGTATTCATTACACAATTTCTTGCCTAGTCAGTGAGGCATTGTTGGCTGAATCCTCTCCTGAGGTTCACGTCACTTATTGGGAGGTTTGCAATACATGGGTCAAATTTCTTATTCTTTTGTTTCCAAAACAGAACTCACATCCAATTGGAACCATCTATGAAAAAAAATTTAAAGCTGTCACCAGCCCTCTGGGGCATTTTATCATTTAGTAAAGACAGCTACAAATATCCTGCTTGTTGATGCTCTATGAAATTCATTTTAAATGCTGCATAGTAATTGATAGCAAATAGTTCAATACATTGAGACTTGGTGTGACAAGGGGTATTTGGAAAAGCATGTGAATGTTCTATAATCTGAAAGGCTCAGCTTAGCTCAAGTTGCTTTAAATATGGTATGTCCTGAGTGCGCCTGCTGAACTGAATCTTTCTCCAATCCCTACTAAATGTATCCTGATATTAGAATGCACTGCAGCTTCAGATCTGCATTCCGTTTCCCATCAGGACTGCAATACTCCCTGGAGCTCTGTCCTAATCGCCTTGGTCCTTGACAGCCCCCTCCTCTCTAGTCCCATTGGGTTGGACTAAGTTTTCCATACCCCAGGTCACTTAGAGGGGCCCTGGTTCAATCCAGAGAGAATATGGACATGGCTGTCCTTACCTGAGTGTCACCCCCACCTTGACTGTTTACTTGTGCTCTACATTTCCTCTTCCCGCTACCCTTAGGGTCAGATGTCTAGGATATCAAGGGTACCCTAGATAGATAAAATCTTGATGAATGTCCTTGGACTGCTGTCACTCTCCCTTCTATGCCAGGTGGTCAGCTGAACAGCTCTCCTGACTTCATAGGCCGTAGCTAATCCTGCCATCTCAGTCCGACACTCCTTGTTCTATACTCTGAGAATTCCCTCGTGGTTGACTTTGTGTAGTTATAATAAAATTTTAGTTCTTTCCATTGTATCATGTTTTAATGATGAAAATGATTCTTTACTATTTAGAATGTGGACCTTCCAATTTATTTTTATTAATTTCCAAGATAAGTCATTAATCAGTTTTTAAGGTCTGCTTTGGGTGAAGATACCTTATAAGACCTTTCCCTGTTAGGTGTGCTATCAGGTGGTCAAATAATAAAGGAAAAGAGGCATTAATAGATGTTTCTACCAGAAAGACCTACTCTAGAAAAGACACCCCCTGAAACTTCTCAGTCTTTCTGTTTCATTTAATGAAACAATGAAATATTTAGTTCACCAGGCAGCAGACTTCCGGACTAGTCTGTCTGCTTGGCTGAGAGAATATTCTTGTGTTAGATGGAGAAACATGGGCATACTACAGCAGAAGACACAACACGTGGAGTTATAATGGGCAATCAAAAAAGCTAAAGTAAAAGGAAGTATTACCTTGGGGTCATGTATTCCAGAAAGCTCTTCATAGATCTTCTCACCTACCATGACGGCAGCCAAGTTTGCTGTGTAGGTGGAAAGGCAAAACATACAGAAAATGGCCCAAAGATTCATTAGAAACCTTCCAGTCCAACATTTTGGGGGTTTGATGGCCACCGTTCTACCAAACAAGAGGGCATAACAGACATTCAAGGCTGAAGAAAAGGAGAAGACTTTACTTCTATTTCGCCCCTTGGGAGTTAAACCAAAGGGACTCTTCCATTCATATAGAGTGAGGAAGATGGCAGTGATGTGCAGAGCCACAAAAATCCCCAGCCACATTGTCCAGTGGAGTGGCCACATGAAGGCTCCAATGGGAGCTGCTGTATCTCGGGTCCTCACTAAGATGCCCAAGCTGGTGGAGAAGAAAGGGCTGGTGAAATCTATCACCTGGCTCCGTGCAGTATTGATGCTGAAGGAAGTGACTGCCATGTGAGCAGTCCCACTCAGGAGATCACCCACCAGCCCAGTCCAGTGCCCATTTTTCCAGGCTCCATACTTTCCATCCCCTACAATATAGAGATCGAAGTCAAAGTTCATGTCTTCTGCTATCTTTTCCAGCAGATCAATGCAATATCCATAGCAGCACTTCTTAAATTTAATGGGCACTGTATCATTACTGCTATGGAGGCTGCTAAAAAGCCTGTCCAGAGTGGAAGAGTCATTAGTCATGGGGTCTAGACAGAGTTGGCCAGCAGGGCACAAGCCTTCATCATCTACCTCCCTTGTGAAGACAAAAGGATGCTCAATCAGGGTAACCACTCTCAAGTGTAGCTTACTTGGGTGTTGGAAGTAGGTTTTGTGTCTCTGGGCCTGCTCTGGCCATAGTCCATAGTCCATGACAATCTTGCCCCCTTGCCAGCTGCCCAAGCGGGTCCACATTGGCTTTCCCATGGGGTCATGTTGAAGATTCCAGATGAAAAAGTTGTTTTCTAAGCTGACGATGGTGGAACCTTTTACTTTGATGGAACCACTGAGGCCTCTGAAAGTGGTATTAGCCAGAAACCTGGAAGAGAGGAGCAAAGGCAGAAAGTAAGAAACAGAAGTGAGACCAAAGACAGGAAGCCGTGTTCATCTTTGCTTCCCTGTCTTAATAAAAATAAATTCATATTTTTGTTTAAAAAGACTTTGCCTACAATTTCTTCAGAAATTAATAAGCTGGACTAATTTTCTATTATAGGAGTAAAGTCCTATTATATTAAGCAAATGAGATTTCACTCTCAGGTTCTAATATTCCGGCCAGGTGCTTGACTCTTAGTCTTACTCTAAATGTTTTTTTAATTCCTAGTTAAGAGATGTGTTAACCATTTTCTTTTGTAAACTGTTAATGACATATTCTTACAACTTTTCAAGCTATGGAGATTTTCAGCATCTTTAACATATCCTACTTCTATTGTTGACTATGTTAAATTGTAACTACATTATCTATCTATCTATCTATCTATCTATCTAGCTAGCTAGCTAGCTAGCTAGCTACCTACCTACCTATCTAGATATTTTGTACAAGGAATGAGATTAAAAAGTATGCATATACATTAATAATTGTTTAAACACTGTATTCATAACCTTAGAAAATAGCCAAATCTTGTTACTAATGTTTCTTGTAGAAAGAAATCAATTAACATATCTGTCCCCATGAGGATAGTTCAAGCTGCATATTGGAGCTCATCCACAGAACAAAGAAAAAGATGATAAATCAACTTGCAGTTTTCAAGATAGCCTCAGGCTAGCCTCCCTCTTAGTCATTAGAAACAATTGGCCCTGGCTCTAGAGAGGGCTTCTGCCAGAAGCCACAAAAAGGAAAATTACCAACTAAATAATATACTGATTCCTAACCCTGTGAACTAGGGCACTTACAGTATACATTCTGATATGGACTAGACAGAAAAAACTAGACTAATAAAGCTTGGTCACAGCCTCTGTCTTTCTTGAGTCTGGGAAGATAAAAGAATAAGAGGTAATATGCAAGCTTGTGGCATCTTAATGATGGCCTTGTGTTGGAATAAAAGCCGAGGCTTTGGCATCAGATCCACCTGCATTTGAATATTGGCCTAGCCACCTGCTAATGTTGACCTTGAACAATTTACTTAACTCTATGCTTTAGTTTTGTCACCAGCAAAATAGAGAAAATGATACTTCCTTCATTACAAGAATTGGAAATAATTTATGTAAAGCACAAGCTACATCTAACATGGAACAAATATTCCAGATATGGCAACTATGACGTAATGTCATTCAAGTATTTTTCAGTTAAGGCTGTCTCCAGGTCACTTTTTCCAAGAATTTTAATGAAATTTTAAAAGTTGGAAACACCAAGTATTGCATTATGATAAATCCATGGCGGTTACTCAAGACACATTTCAAATTAAAAGTAATTAAATTGAAATGTAGAATGGAACATAGTAGGTATTTTGCACAGTCAGTTGCTGCTGTAAGTGTAGGCTCTCAGCAAAACATATTCACTCATTGCCTGTCACGAATATTACTCCATAAATTACAAATGCAAATAGAAGTACTAAGACATTATGTAGCCACAGAAGGGACATAGAAAAATCAGAAAGTGTGAAGTACATACTAATTTTCATTAGAGATATAAATGTAAATCACATTTGAAGATGCTTCTATCAATAAATGCAGTGAAACTGTTCATTTTGTAAGACTGCGTCTAATGGTAATTATTCATGTTAGTACTCCCCAGTGGCACTCCACCACTTAAATTCTATTTTGCAACAAGTAATGAAGTCTTGGCTGTTTAAGACTTTGAAATAGTTTTCTGCTTCTTTAGAGAAGGAGCCAAATCATTAAAATATACAGATTAATCAATTGATAATTGCCTAGCTATTATAAGTAAAAGATGATACACTTCTTTATAAGAAATCTACTTTTAGATTTGTTAAAACACACACATACACACACTTGCTAATATAGGAAATAAATGCTTAGTAGTAAGTAGGTTAATTTCTTCCGGTCAATTTACTGATCAGGAAAGTAAAGAGGAAGTTGTGGAAAGAAGAACCCTTCATTATTTTAAGAATGTTTGGGGCTTAATGATTATAGATTCTTAACTGGATGGTCCCTTGAGAAAGTACCTCTAAGTATATATTTAAACTATATATCTCAAAAAAAAAAAACCATCAGAAATCTTCAGAAAATTTCCAGAGATTACACAACTCCCTCATTCCAGTAAAACCTATTCCTGATTATTGGTATTAAATAACATTTAAGATGGCCATGACAGAGTGACAAGGCCCAGTTGTCTTTGAGGCAGTCATTCTCCAAAGAAGGCAAATCAATACGGACCTCAATGTCTCTAGTTTTCTCAGCCCAGAAAACCTAATGCTCGTTTCACTATTGGCTCCAAAAAAATTGGGTCCCAGAGAATCACCACTTATGACAGACTATTTGTACTTGTTTTATTTTTAGTCTTACGATAAGGGTGAATCAAAATAATCTCCTGAAAGCTTTAGCTATAGTCACGTGCTCTATGACTATAGAGTGACGACACGTAGCAAAGTTTAAACGCTCACTATGTTAGTTAAAGTATCAAAAGGCTGAAATCCTGATTTTGCTTATGTTGGATTCTATCACATTCCTTTTTTATCTTCTCTTTTACTGTTCTTGGATAAACAAGAAAAAAAATCAGGAATAGTTTTACTGGCATCATAAACTGACAAAGTTTTGGCACTGTTCCAACACTGGAATTACAGGGATGAAAGAAAAATTCACTGGTCTCAAGAAACTCAAGAAGCTCAAAGTCTAATTCTGGGGAGAAAGAAAGTGAGCGGGCAATTCAGACCCAGATAATGAGCATCGTGACAGAGGTAAATCTGGTGCCACTGGAACAGACAGCAAGAGCACCTGCACATTCTACCATAGCATGCCAAGGAAAGCTTCATAGAGGAGGAAGTGCCAGAGCTGAGTCTTGAAAGAAGGAATTAATAGTAAGCCAGAAAAAGAAGCTGGGACATGATGTTGTCATCTCAAGGAGATACAAATACAAAGGCCGGAGACAGAGAGTGTGAGCTGTTGGACTATGAGATAAAAAACAAGGAGGAAGATGAGGATGGGAAATGAATTCCATCAGATCTGAGACTAGAGTGAAGACAATGGGAAGCCACTGAGGGGAATCTGTCTGGGGAGAGACATGATCATTAGATTTAATTTTAGAAAGATTTTATTTTCCCTTGCTAGTTATATAGGACATAGCTTGGAAGGAGGAGGGGACTGAACATAATTCCACATGTGATGAACAATGCTGCTTCTTTCTTTCTTTTGCTTCCTCTCTTACTCTCTCTCTGCTAGTTTCATAAAGGGCTTAAAATGGTAAGGGCGAAGTCAGTAGCAGAAGTAGAGAGAAAATGGCATAATCAAGAGATATTTCATCTTTAAAAAGCAAAGCAGTGATTTAAAAGGGCCAAATGCACAGGCTTGCAAACTTTACTAAAAATGTATGAGACTCGGCTTGACCATAGGTCCTATAAATAAGACCTGATAGTATTTAGTTGAATACAAACTCAGTGTAAGCCCATAGAGCAATGTGGGTGTAAAAAAATAACCTTAAGTTCATTTAATAAAAGTTTAGAGCCTGGATCAAAGGGAACAATAAGACTACCATTCACTGTGCTGATCAGGTAACTGCTCCAGCCTGGATATGAACCCTAAACAAATCTTCCAGATTCGGGAATGTTATGAAGAAAGATATGAAGGTGGAAAATGTAAGAGGAGGTGGTAAGCATGACAATCTGATTGGAGAGCAGGGTAGAAAAGTATTAGAAAATAGCATAGGGAAAGCAGGTTGCAACTAGACTATAGAGGCCTCATGCCCCTGTTTTATGAGATTGAATTTTATTTTAGTAGGAAAAGGGGAACCATGAAGATTACTGAGCAGCATAATGACTTTAACAGAGATCTACGTTAGTAATATTGGTCTGGAAGCAAGTAAAATGCACATATAGGAAGGGAAAATGGTGACTAGGAGACCACTTACAGTACTGTATCTTTGTCATGGTTTGATAAGGGCCCCGATCTCGCTCCATGAGTGAGAATCTGGTTTTGTGAGTGTTTAACAAAGTAGTTCAAGTATTCATCTTTTTTATCGACAAACATCCCAAGATACCACTCTCCTCAAAAGAATGAGGCTCATTCATTAATTTTTCTTTATTAAAAGCTCCCAATATGTGACTAATTAAGAACGTGTTGATTTGCATAACAGCTGAGATAAAATCTGCACTTTGCAAATTATTTAGAAAATGTTTTTGAGATAGTTCACAGCATAAGCAAGATCAATATTTCATATATTTGAGATATATTTTAGAAGCCATATTTGCATGCAAAATGTTGACATACTAATGAAAGGATTTTCTTATTTATTCAGCATAAAATGAGCAACACATCATACATTCAATCATCTATTTATTCCACAATATTCACTATGTGCCAGGCACTGTCCTAGGTGCTGGGAATGCAGCAGTGAAGTAAGACCGCAATCTATGCAGCTTATATTCTATTGAAGGAGACAGAATACATAATGATAAATAGGTAATATGTATGGGATTTAGACCTGTCCCAATGTGGACATAAGAGGTTTTTTTTTTTTTTTTTTTTTGTAATTTTAAATGCTTTGAGCTTTGATTTATTGATTTATTGTATTTTTCATGCATAATAACCTGCTGCTTAAGTTTACAGCCTTTTTTGGATGCTAAAATACTGGCATATTTGGGGAAATATTCTATGTACTAATCAAAATGAGTGTACATTCTCTGTGAAATGTTAACTGTAGTGTTTATCTTCATGTATTAATTACATTATTCATATACTATTTTTACTTTTTGTAACTTGCTCTAAAATTTGCTAAAGTTAAATAAAAATCTCCCATTACAAATAATGTTGCCCTTTTCTTAAAGATTTGAAGAACTGTTGCCCCCTTGATTTTTCTTGTCTTATTTGGCACATACAGTTTTATTAGTCTTATGTTTTTATGTTTATTATGAATCTGTGTTTTTCCTT